ACCAAAACTATCTAGTCATCCATCACGGAGTTTTTACGATAATGATCTGATTAGAAGCTGAAAATAGTTAAACACTGAATTTCTGAACGACAATTTCGATACCAGTGGTCAGTTTAATCTATCTCATGATTAAGAGTAATTTGAATGCTACTATATTTCTATATCTTTTGAAATTATTTCAAAAACTTTCGTTCCCTAATTAATCTTCAGTTATCTCAATTGACAATAATCTCATATAAATCCAATTATCATTATCAAAAAAGAATGGATCCTAATAATCCGGAATTTATTTGTGCGCATCATAAAAATACTACAAATATTTTTTTGTCTTTTTTTACTCTATCAGTTTCAAAAAACATATTGTTTGAAAAAGTGCTCTTTTATGGAATATGACAGTTTGTATGCGACTCATTCTTTCTACGTCAAAAAAATACTGATATTACTAAGAAAAAAACACATGTAATAATGACGATAACCTATTGATATGAATTATTTTCAGTCATCCAAAACAGGCTAACAGAATTACTTAGTGTAAGATTCACCGCATTTGTAAGCAAACAGAAAAAGGGATGGAAGTAGGAATAGAAATATGGGAAGAAATAATAAATAAATATAGCTTTAAATAATGAATAATTTATTAAATTTTTAGTGCATTAAAAAAACTGAATATAATCCTTATTTTCTTGTCTCATTTTTATAATGCGCTCTTCTTTTTCTAAATTTCATTTAGCTTCTATTTGGAACTAGATACATCAGAAAAGAGCTGAAAAGTAATGATAGTGGACCAGTATAAAAAGGAAAGACAAAACTAGCTCTGCTTTCTGTCCTTCCCTGCTCTATGCTTAAGTGTGACGTTTTGGTGCCAGGCGGTAACAACTTTAAAAAAACTCCAAAAAAAAAAAAAAAAAGGAAAATCCTTTTTCTATTCTCTTATCCTGATCTAAAACTAATGCAGTACGGATAAACTTAGTTTACGTTATATTTTGCCATATACATATACGTGTCATAACATTTCACGCATGTATTTACATTCCATTCAAAAATAACAATACGTATATAACACACATAACATATCACTTAGCACATAGTTCTGAAATAGGAAAAAACTTTAATTTCATAAATCTTTCTTATTTATCACAAATAATAATATTCGCTTCCCACATTTTAAATAGTTATCGCACTTTATGAATATTTCTAATTCTTCGAATAATACTTGTACTTTATTAGTTGGATGATTCTGTCTTCCACCTTTATTTCAGTTATCAGTAACGATATCAACTTGGTACATCATTTCTTCCTCTTTTACTTTTTTCATATAAATGAGTGATTTTATATGATAGAAAATACCGATGACAAATCTATGATATATTATATTATTTTACGAAAATCTTTAAATCATTGAAGAAAAACATAGTATGTTATTGACATTAACTGTCTATGATAGCTTTTTATGATAGGCTACTATGAGTCAATAAAAAAATATTCATTCAGTATTTTCATGATTATCCTGAAATTATTACGATTTATTGCAACGACAAACAAATCTTTGGTATGAAATCTAAGTTAAATCTACAGTTTAAAATTAAATTTACGTCAATGATACATTAATTTTATGATATATGATGTATATGCATGATATATAAATGATATTTATATAATTTCCGAGTCGTATCCTAAAAATTATCAGTTAATAGATAAGTTAATGTTATGTAAAGAATAAAAAATAAAATCTCCTAACATTTTCAAACAATTAGCTCACAGATTGTTGAAAAAGCATGATTGTGCCCACTTCTCTATAATTTATTCAGGTCATACGTTACAATTCATGAAAGTCAACAATTTTCCTCCATCTTTCTTCTCACATTCAATCATTCATGTTATAACAGCACATATCTTTAATCATATCTGCATTCCGGGAAAACAAAAATATAAAATATCCTTAAAAAATAAAATTTCTAGCAATAATTTCCATAATGTATTTGCCCACACTCTTCCAATCCATAATCACTCTTAGTAATTAGTCCATCCAATCTTCGGTTTCAATTAAAATCAATCATTCTTTCACCTTCATCATCTACACCTAAATTTGACGAAATTTTCGAAATCGACCAAGCGATGATGCGCTCCAACATTCTTCCATGACAATCTTCTCCATTTACTCCAACTATTACAAAAAAAAAAAAAATCGTCGAAAATATGGAAGGATTCGGTCAAAGTGGTGGTCATTGAACAAACTGGGTCACTTCTCCATTCATGCGAGTTTACGATTAATTCATTCAAATTATCTTTTTGTTAATATTCACAAGGAAAAAAATTCTTTTTTTTTTATCAAAATTACAAGAACTACAAATCTTTCGCTCAAACTGAAGTCCTGTCACACTGCTCAATCTATATCAATGAATCCAAAACATCCATAAATGAAAAGAGAAAAAAACAAAAAAACACAAAGAAAGATCTGTTTAATATTAGAATAAATACTGATCCTAATCTTCTTATATTCTTTAAAAAATTGCAGTTTTTATGTTGCTACAGGAATTGATAATCCAAAAGATTTAGACATTTCTAAATGTTTTGTGAGAGCAATTTTTTTCGTAATCACTAATCATGACTATTACATTTAACGTTAATCCGAACAGTGCTTTACTTTTCTTATTCCCGCATACGTCATAATAATTTCGAAAACTATCATCAAATTCACATATACTAAGTGATCTATCTAAGGATTTTATCTTTCCTAATTCACTCTTCATTCCAATCAAATCAAATTAATTATCAATGAAAAATTGTGTTTATACTTGAGAATCATATTTCATCCTCTTCCTTTCTGTCTTCCATCTTTGTCACCGAAGTAGATAATCAAAAACCTTCCATCTAATATTAGTGTTAACTGTCAGATAAAGTTGAATGACCAATAAAACACAAAACAATAAAATGGGAATAAGGAAGTTAGCTAAGAAAAAATGAAAAAAAAAAGAAGGAAACTGATGATAAACTGCTGCTTCTTCCTTTATTCTATCTTTTCACTTAATCCATCGAATTAAGGGAAAATAGGAGAAATATCCGCCCCCTATCCTGATATGAAATATGAGATACTTATTTTTTTGAGGAAATAGAATGATTAGGTGTTATTCAAATTAATCGATCTAATCCACTGATTATCAATCAGTCAACCAATCAATGTCCACCTTTTGAATAAACTGTCCGCCTTTTAGCCATGCAGTTGTTGTCGTTGTTGCTATTATTATTGTTCTTGTTGCTGTTGCTGTTCTTGCTATTGTAGTTGGTTGTTGAAGTTGTTCTTATCACTAGGAGCAATATTTCATGAGAAATAGTAGAAAATTGCGATGATAAGAAAGGCCGACAATTAGATGGATCAATTTAGAGAGTTTTTAATTTGTTACCAGTTGTAATGATAGTGGTAGTAATGGTAGCAATAGTGATAGTTGATCGTGGTCAGTTACAAGGATATCTGTCGATCGGTGGTAGTAATGATGGTGACGATGATTGTGATAGTCGTAGGAGTAGTAGGGTGGTAGTGCTGGGATGGATTTAGTATATCGTCAATGATGTCGTAGAAATAGCAGCAATAGCTTCGGTAATGATCAGTGCAGATTGGTAACGAACGATGGTGACAATGGCGGTTTGTGTCGCAAACGATAATAGGTTTCTTATTGGTTCCTCCTTTTCTTTCTTTACTTTTTCCCCTCTCTTTTTGTCACCACTATTAATGATACCTGCAGCTGCAGCAATTCCAGAGTTATTATTCTGAATACTTAATGGATAGATATCTTTACTTCAAGTGTATCACAAATTAAATAAAATACATTTTCAATATAAGAGTACCAATTATTCTTCTCAATTCAATCGTATCCCCCAAAATTACTCTAAAAAAAAACACACATACGTCGATATAGCCAATTCGACAGTATCGTGGGAAACTTCCCAGTAAGATTAATTGGAACTTCGCTAATATCTTGATGATTTCATAGTTATCTGAGAAGTTACCGATGATATCCAAGGAATTTTCAATGAGTTAGTTCCTCCGTATTCGCTATAGTTTGTAGTAAATACCCAAAACGAAATTAGTGTAGGTGTACGACTGTATGTGTGTGTATGCGTATGTGTGTGTGGTGTGTGTGTGTATGTGTACGTATCTATTTGTCTGTCTGTTCGTTTGTATGCAGAATTTTCATCTTAAGAGAGGATGATCAACGGTGATTGTTGGTGCTAAGTGGGTAGGGGTTTGTGCCGGTGTAGTTCAAAACATCGTCGAGAAAAGTCGATTTTACTATTTCATCCCAATCATCCTCCCTCTTCCTTCTTTAACTAATACAATTTGGAGGTCTCGTCCCTTTCCGCCGTACCAGCCTGTGATAATGTCGCCAATGCCTTACCAATAATACATACACACACTCCTCAATCAACACATATATATACTACTTTACTAATATGTTTGAGCACTAAATACTATACGTAATGTATAATCGTAAGGCTATTTCAATTTCGATTCATTCATTCTGGCCCATTTTCACAATTTCCTATCGATATCGACACTTCAATCTGTCACTGTACATATATATATATGTACAAAGCGATAGACCCAGAAAATGACAGACGCGAGTAGATAAATAGTTAATGAAATTCCCACCAAATCATTCATGACAACAAAGTACTTCTGTCAGAGAGGATAATTACCAAGCATGTCACAATGAGGTTAAAAAAAAAATTGAAATAGAAACTTCACGTTTAGAATGTTAAAATTGGTGTCATACAATTTATCAATAGTCTATGTATATCTCCAAGGGCATTTTGTAAACGAATGATCAATTTTCTGAACTCTTCTTAAAAATCTAATATAATTTTTACCCTGCTTATTCCTCACACTCATCCTTCCTACTACTATCATGATTTTTTTATTTTCCACTTTTCCACATTAATTTTTTCAAAAAAAATTTTTTTTCGTTTAATTCTTAATTTAAAAAAATTGAAAATGGAAGTTTCTACAAGACACATATATGTCTTTCATGAAATTTTTCACCAAATGCAAATGAAAATCTATGTGCTTCCATATCTGTATCAGACTTTCGTCTTAAATTCCGACTATATTCTAGCATATCGATATTTATCCCAAAAAGTAAAATATCATGATTTACAATTTTGCTGCCTTGAATATGCAAATTACGTTCAAGTAAATTTCTATTTCTCTCATAAGCGAACCTTCCATAATTTCGACGATCAGAAATATCGGTGCTGCTCCGAGCATTCATATTAGCCAAACAACCAGAACTACAGCAAATCAAACTTAAACATTCAGTGTAACATCTTTTCCATTCTCTTTCACATGTGGTGTAACTTATCCGCATATCATTTCCATAAGTTAGGATAAATTTAAAAAATTAAATTCAAATTTTAGTCATTTATTTGCGAATAACAGAAAAAAATGGAACAGTCCCCGAAAATTATATTTAATCAGCTAGGTTGTTTGACTTTAATTATTTCTTTCCTTTATAATAATACTACAGATTTTCTCTCAATAATTTTTTTGCTTCAAATTAGGAAAATTGAACAAACAGGTGGAAAAAGTGGAAATTTTCAAACAGTTTTAACGAAAAGAGAGGAAAAAATAAAGAACGGTTGGATTTGCACAGCTGACCTCAATTTTACAAGCAAGAAAAAAAAAAGAGTGAGGGTTCAGCGGAATAAAACGCGGGCAAGCAACACAATAACTAATTTATTTAAATCTTACACAACACTGAAGGTCATTTTTGCTCCAAAATTCCCAAAAATTTATTACCGAACAAATTTACCGTGGTTATTTGAATACTTTGTGAACACAACTTTATAACTTGTATTAAACCATCCATGGGAAAGAGGAGAGTAACAATAACGGTTGTTTAACCAGCTCATTTTGTTGATTAAGTAATAAAATATGAAATTATCTCAATTATATTGCAAATATACAGCAGTAATTTCCGGGTATTTGACTCGATAATTTACCCATGTTAAGCTATGTTTATGAGATTGCTTATTCTATTTTGAAAATTTGCGGATGAGATACATTCGATGTAGCATAATAAAATGACTACTTTTACACAATATCAACGATCTCTTACCAAAAACTTACAGGCTTTACATCTTGATATCATGTGGAAATACTAAATGCTTCATTTAATGTGGAAAATGATAACGACGGAACATATCTTTGAAAGTTTCAAACAAGCGGAAATGAAATAAATTGCAAGTTACTTTGATTAGAGTTAAAAGATTAAGTGGATTATACGGAAAGATTCATTCGTGAAAAAAGGCGAAATCCAAAATGCTATCAAAACTATTACTAAACAAAATAATTTACAACAGGTTGTAATGGTATGATGTTTAAAAAAAATTACACGACTTTATAGAATCTTCTTCGGCAGCGTTACTAAATCTTTTCAAATGAAAAACTCAGGAAAATGGCTTTCAATTTTAATTTGTGCTTCAAGACGGCGTCAGATAATTTTGAACTAATTGCATATTTAATATATTAATTATCGAGGAAGAGAAGACCACATTTCAGAGCAAAGAATGCTAATTGCTACACTGAAATTGAAAGTATCGGTTTAGGATAAAACAAGAATATTACTATGAAACTTGAGAAATTTTATTTTCATCTCCAAAAAAATATGGATAAAATAAAGAATAAGATCCAGACCTTCGAAGCAGCTGTCATCAATATCCCTGAATACCGAATCATCCATCGTCGAACATCATTTGTTTTCTATAAAATGCTGTAAAAAGCAAATAAAATTAGCTACGAAATTATCATTTATAACGAAACAAGCTATAATACATTCGTAAAAAGAAAAATGATCAGTGAAAAGATAATACGGAAAAAAATCAATCAACAATTGGATAAACTTAACCTTAACAATAAAACTATTAAAAAAAGACTTAAATAGCTTAACTGAGCGCAGAAATCTTAACATTAAATCAAATTTCATTTTTCTGAGAAACTAATAAAAATAGTAATTCATTTTAAAACAGTTAAGTAGTTTCAAACTTATTTTTATGAGTTATTATTGACTTACTATGCTAGTTCGCTGATATGAGTACGAGAAAGTGGTGGAAAGAAGAAAAGAAAAGCTTTCCAATACTCTCAAATGTATGTGTATTACATTGAGATTTAAGTGATTCTTAGTGATAAAACTCTGTCAACTATTTAAAATATTGCTTGAGAAATCCAAACAAAATTATTTGAAAGAGCTATTCCTGATTAATTAAGCAAGTAAATTACAAAATAATTCGAAAAAAGATCAATCAGAATGGTAAATTTGAAAAACACAAATACGAGTGTTTTTGTATAATGATGAAAAATTATCAATAAAGAATTACTTTAGCTGCAATCATTAGCCTTTATTATCTCGAAACATTTTCATGCTTTTTTAACACCACTTACTAACCTTATAATTATTATTAATCCTATCTCTTTATGATTTGTATTTTTTTCTTTTTACTTTGAACCATTTTCCCAAATGTAAACAAACATAAGAAATACTGGCTAAATGTTTATTTTTCTAACCTATATACTAGAATTTCATTTTTTTTCTTAAATGACAATATTTTTTTTTCATTTTTCATCCATTAGCTTCATTTGAGATTTCATAATTCATTCCTCAATTCACAGATAAATTTCAAACTAAACAAATTCATTAAAATGAAAACAGAATACATTCCACGTTATCATATGATTGTTATCATTGTATTTTTTTCCGGATGGCATTACAGTGAAAATTCCGTGTACCGTACACGTAATCGTCTACGAGATAAGTAATAATTAGCGTTGAAAAGAAGAAATATCACGTACTCCTATCTTTACCGCTACCACAACGCTATACAATTAGCATTTTCACAAACCTGAAATGACAGACTGACAATGAAAAAAAAAAGAGTACGCACCAAGCACTTCACGCGCTGCGGATCATCCATGACAAATGGTCTCACCATGCAAACATAAAAATCCCACAGGTATAGGGAGCATTTGTTACTTTTACATTTCTCTAATGTTATACTTATGATTGTGTTTGTTTGTTAAGTCAATTAGCATTAGCTATTTCTATGCTAATACATATTTTGATTCAACAAAGATTGGAGAAAGAAAAGGGACAAATAACTTTTTTCGAAGCAAATAAATGTTTAAATTTATACAAAGAATTTAATTTTATTTTATATAATTTTAGCTTTAAAATTTAAAGCTTAAGATATCTACAATTGTTCAAATGCAACTTTACATGATTTCAAACATTTAGGTTACTCTTATGTAGTATTAACATGAAATAATTCTCAAAAAAGATTCTTATACAGTTAACTGTTACAAATATTCCTTTAAATGCAACCGTTTAAATGTTGGATGTTAGATAGATTTCCGGTCATTCCGGATGTTTACACTTTGATAATAACATGCATTTTGAAAGTGTTAGACTGAAAATGAAAAATATTCGATAGTTTTAAACTCAATCATTCGATAACTTTAAAATACGAAACTTTCTTATTTCTTATTTATCCTTTTTTCTCCCTCTCTTCCTCTCTCTCTCTCTTCCTCCAAATTATTAGCACAGTTCATCGAATATCCTAAATTAAAGTTGATAGAACTATGTCGGTTTAAATTCCAATTTCATTTATTCTTGTTAACAAAATCTTTATCAAAATCGGCTTAATTAAATCATCAATTTTAATTATCAATTTAATCATTAACAAAGGAAAATTCATACTTTATAATTTTATAACCATTGTTAGCCCCGAAATGAATCATTTTCTTCTTAAATTCTTTAAATTTGCATAAGAATTTAGGCACTATTACTTATTCCAATACAAAAATATAACTTATAAGGTTATTTCAGTTTACTCTTAACTTAATATAATGTCAAATGAGGCGGTTGATACTAAAACAGTTATGCTACGATGTCCAATTTGTGAACGTTGGCAAATGGTTAATGAAATGCGTCAACTTTTACCTTGTTTACACCTGTTTTGTTCTACCTGTCTCAATAAGAAGAAAGCAGATAAGGTTAGGTTAGATACTATAATTTACTTAGAATAATATTGATTATGAACGAAAGGAAAACTTAGTTATTTCTTACAAAATCGATATTCCTATAGTTTCATTTTTATTCCAGTTTTCTGAAATTAACCAAAATCAATAAAGTAGACAAAATTTAAAATTTTTGAAATATTAAATAGCTAAAGTTAATTTTGAAATTAAATAAGAATTGTTTTTAATAAATTTTGCGAAGTATTCAGATATGTCTAATGCTTCATTGTTTTTCCAATATTTGCACCGGAACTCTCACACTGAATAATTGTGATAACGATATGTGTCCTAGGTAAGAAAGCTTTTTAATTTAAATAATAATTTAAAAGTTGTACAAAAATAAACTAAATCGGTTTTTTTTTCTTTTAATTAATAAATTTGAATGCTTAGTAACTCATTAAAATTCTTACTTTTATTATTGTTTTTCGTTAAAACATTATTTTTCAAAATTTTTATCACATAAATTCATTTCTTTTCTCATTTTTTATAAGTGTCAATTCTACGTTGCATACTTCAGATTTAGCAGTATGATATTTACTCGAACAAATAAAAAATTGATCAAACTCGAGATGCAAAGATTGAGAGTAAAAGAGAGAACAGCATGTAGAAGGGTTGCAAAGATTGAAAGTAAATAAAGAAAACAGTATATGAAGAGATAGTAGAGATTGGAAGTAAAGTAAGAAAACAATATCTGTAAGTACTGTAAAGACTGAGAGTAAAAATTAGAAATTAGTATTCGGAAATTTTATAGAAGTAAAATGATAAATGTGAAGAAAATTTTAAAAAAGGAAAATTAATGAGAATTATAGTACGAAATACAGGATAAAAGTAATTATTTAATTATCTACAAATAATTGTTTGTCATGATGAAGGTCTCGAGATTATAAACAGTCTTTAAAAAAAAAAATAGTAATATTAGCTATCAAATTTTTTTCTTCTGTCCAACGAATTTAAACTTGTATGCATTTTAAAAACTATAAAATAATCAACTGATGAAAGATAATCGAGATTATTTTTTTTTTTGCGAAGTTTGTATTCCGTCCACATTTTTCCATTGATTTTAGAAAGATAATAGAAAAACTGTTGACTTTTAAAAATAATTGATAATAATTGAAAGTTAAAATTTTAATGGAATTATCAAAATTTCAACTGAATCATTTTAGATGGCAAAAAAAAAAAATGATAATGAAATTTTTATTTTTAAAAATTTGAATTCATGTGTGCTACGGAAGTGAAATAATTTCATTTTATTTAAAAGTGTTTTACTTGAAAAATGTTTATTTACTGATAATTTAGAATGATGATAATGATAAGTGTACACTTATTGTTATATTTACCACTTACATACTTTAGTAAAATCAGTGAAGTTTAAAAAATAATTTGGATATAAACAAATAGATAAAAGTAATAATATTTAATATTAATAGAACTCGTAAAAAATTTGGGATAAAATTTGAAAATTAAAATTAAAAAAAGCAAATGGAAAGAAAAAAAAATCTCTGTTATTATAGGAAATTATCATTTTATGACTCAAATCCTATAGGAAATTGCAAGCATGAATTGTGCAATCCGTGTTTTGAAGAATTATCCAAAATTCAACCAGCAGGTTAAAAAAAATAATTTGAAAATTTTTTAGAACAAGCAAAAAAGAATTAAATTAAAACTGTGTGAATAATTTATTAGAAAGAATTAATTATCAGTATAAAAAGGAAAGATTAAAAATTTAATATAATTTGGATAAAAAATTTTTTTTGAAATTTCAAAGATTCATTATTAACTCTATCATTTATTATTGACAATAAATTTTATAATTAATTTTATGAAAAAATTTGTAATAACTTTTTTTTAATAAACAAAATTATGGAAAGAAAAAAAAAACATTGTTTCAAATATGAGAAAGAAAATTTTTTATATATTTTGTTAATCTTTTACTAAAACAATCATTTGATATTGTATTATTTGTTTCAGTATGCCCAGTATCAGACTGCAATGAGCCATTAGGTGACAATGACACTACTGAATTATGTGATGGTTGTAAAAAAATTTTATTAGATGTCAAATACATTGTCACCAAATGTTGCAATGCACGATACTGTCTTCAATGTGCAGTTAAAAAATCATTTCTCAGTTTAAATCGTTTGTTTTAATTTTTCAAAAATAAATAATTAATTATTTGTTAGCATTTTTTATACTTTAAAATATTGAAATATGGAAAGGATGATGAAAATTACATTTAAAAAAAATACGGCAAATTAATTTATATCCAAAATATAAGTTTAAAAAATGGAATAAGTGTAATTGAGGTGAAAAAAAGCCAAAAACAAAAGTAAATGTGAGAATAAAAATAAGTTATTTCTTTTTTTTTTTAAAAAAAAGGAATTAGTATAATACGTGTGTTTCACGTAATTAGTAGCGTATAAATATTTGTAAAATAATTAATATCCTGCATACATTTTATATAAGTTAACATAAATTTTCTGTTTTCTTTCTGTATTAATAATTATGTAAAGCAGTAATTCGGTTAAGTGTTTATAGTTCAATCGTAAATTTGATTCTTATTCCGTACGTTTATGCATTAAATTTTTATTAAATGAAGTTACAATATTTTATCTGATTTACTAAATTATATTTGGTCTAAATTTTTTTTCTGATTTTAATAATAAATGTGTCACATACAACTTGAATAACTTACAAAATTTATTTTTAAAGATTTTTTTTTTTTAAAGAATTTAATATTTTTGCACTAATAAACTAAACTAATATAACATTTATTTCAATAAAATATTATACCTAATGTAATGAGTGTAATTTTATTTAGCGGAAGAGAATTATGCAAATGTGACATGTCCAGAAGGTAAATGTCTCGAAAAAGATTCTCGAAATAGCAAAAATAATCGTCCTTCCCTTCAAGTTCGTTTTTCATTTCATATTTAATTTTTTAATTTGTTGTTTGTCAAAGTAAAATATTATGTTAAAAAACAAAAAAAAAAAATATTACAAAGAAAAAAAAGAAAATTACATTAAAAAATTTTTGAGAATTTCTTAACAATGTTTGATGATTAAAATAATAAAAATGATTCGTTAACCAATCAATCGATCAATAAACAAAAATTATTCATTAATCAATCAATCAATAATAGATTACTCAATATTACATATCTTAATAATCTAATAAAAACTTTTTGTTCATACTACATTTGATTCTTAAATAATTATTAAGACCACATGCTAGCAACTAAATAAATTAGCAATTGTTAGAAAAAAAGAGTTAGCAAAAGATTTGAAATAAATGAACTAAAAAGTAATTAGTAAAGATGAACAATGCGGTATATCTAAGTTAATCTTTGTGACAAAGCCAAAAAGATTAATATAATTTGACAATTTCAGTCTCAATTTGTACGATTGTTATTGTCAGTTAGAATAAAAATAACCAAATTAAAACAAAATTTGTTTGAAAAAAATAAATATTTAAATTGAATTTAAAAATTTTAAAAAAAATTAAGAAAGATGAAAGAGAAAAAAAGTTAAAAAAAGAAGGAAAAAATTAGTTGAAATAAATGAAATAAGAAAATTTTTAAGTGATGAACATAACGTAACGTTATTGTACTGATTTAAATAAGTATTTGAGGATACAATTTTAAAATTTCACATTTTATTTTTTTTTCATTCTCTTTTTACTCTTTAAAATACAAAATGTAAATTTTAAAGTTTAAGTAAATATGAAAAAAAGTGGGCAACAATTCTTCATTTTTTCTTCTTTTTTTTCTCGCTATTAAATATAATTGTTTGAGTATGAATAAGCAAGTATTTAGATATGAATAAGATAAGATGGCATGAATAAATTATTATTTAGCAAATATTCTTTCTGAAAAAATTTTTTCTGATTATTTCCGACTTACTCATTCAGTTTGACTATTTTACTTATTGTTTATTTTAAAGTAGGTTTAAAGTATTTGATTTGCTTAATGATACAGTTTACTAATTTATATATATATGATTAAACATTCGACTGATTGATTTGCAAATTCTTAACTTATTCTGAGTAACTTTGCAAAGTTAAAATGAACAACTTTAATTTAAATCAATAGTTTGGTTCTATGTAAAATTGATTTAATCACATTTTAAATAATTAAGTCCTGAAGTCTTCAAAAATTTAAATTTTAATGTTTGAAAAAATTTTAATTTTTTTTTAATAGATTTTTTTAAAATAAATCATTAAAAAATTGCACTACGGTTATTATTAATTATTTCCGGAAATATCATTTCATATAAAAACGATTAAAATTTATAATTTAAATTTCATCTAAATTCGAGCAAAATTTCATCATTAAGTGATTACTTTTGATTTCATTGTTACAGTTGTTGAATTTAATAGTTTTTAATTTCTTATTTTGATATTCCAATCAAAATTTTCCATTGTAATCTCAAAATTTAAATTTGTTTCACTTTTTCATTAGCCTAATTTCTCTCTTCCTTTTTTTTTAAAAGATAGCTCAATGTATGGGCCAAGATGGTTGTGAAGGCCAAGCACTTAATGGCTTCCCATCCAGCAATGAGTGTGACCACGAGATTTGCATCGATTGCTTGGATAAAATGCTTACTGAATGTGAAATTACCTGTAATTACATATTTCATTCATTCATTCATTCATTCATTTTTTTTTCTAAAATTAATAAAATAAAAAATTTCAAAACAAAAATAAAAATTTTGAAAATTTAAGCTTCACCGCCAGTATGTCCTAATGCATTATGTCATCAACCATATGCGATTGATTCAGTTATTGCGCTTAAGGCATTTTTCCCACAGCGCACCAAATATTTCAATCATTTTGCGCTTGAAAATCAAACTTATTTTCTCATTAAAGATGAATCAATTTCTGTTAGCGCTTTTTTTTAAAAATTTTTATTTAAAATATTGTATTTATTATGAAAATACTAAAAAAAAAAAAAAAAATTGAAATTAACATGCATATACCTTTCAATGTAATTAATTTTATAAAATAATTTTTTAAATTTACTTTAGAAATCCGAAATATCACCAGATTTTACGGTTAGTTCACGTCGAATGGAAGTGAAATGTGAACTTCAAGGACCAGATGAAAGTAATCAAACGACGGTTATTTTTGACCGAAAGGGTAATGTAGCAGATTTCATACGTGAAATACGTCGAGCATTGAAAATTTTACCACTTGATAAAGTAATTGTTTAAAATTTTCTTTTTTTCATACTTCAACAGTTTTAGAAATTCAACATAAAATTTATATGTAAATGAATTTACAAAAAAAAAAAAAAAAATTAAAAATATAATATTATCAATATAAATTTATTTATTATCAATGAATGATATTATCAATATAAATTTATCATACTGCTATTAACACTAAAATTTAATATCAGTTCTGTTAATTTTCCAAATTTTCCTGACAAAAAATTTATTAAATTATTAAATATTCAATGATTTACTACTGCAATTGATAATAATTTAAATTAATTTAATTGTTAATTCATTTCATTATTTTCAGTTGTGATTTTTAAATTTGAACACTAATTTTAATGCACTAATTTTTTTTATGTACTGAGAAAAATATTTATTATCATTTTGATTAATATTTATTTATCATAAATAATTAATTTATACCAAGAAAAAAAAAATTTTTTTCTTCATCAATTTTTTTTCAATTTTTTTTAATTCGCTTCATTAGTAGAAAAGTTAAATTTCTTTTTTTTTTTTTGATTTGTTAAAATTTATTTTTTTCAAAAAAAAGAAATAAAATTATACCAATTATATTAATAATTAATTTAAGGTTTATGGATATTACATACGACGCGATTATAACAAAAACGATGAGAAATGCGATGATCGAGAAGAATTAGTGATGGATGCAAAATCGATCGATCGTTCAATTAGTGAATTAAATTTAACAACTGATAGTGTAGTGATCGTTGATACAAGCGGTATTGTACAAATGAAAACATTGTAAAATGTATGTCGAAAATGTTTTTATTAATTAATCATTTCATTTAATATTAATTTTTAATATATTAAATGGAATCTTAAAATTATAATTTTTTTAGAACAAAAAAAAAGAACGAAGAAAAAACGAAAAATAGAAGGAAAAAGTAGCCATTTTCTGTTTCTTTTTAATAAATAAATTTAATAATAGGTTTTTTCTTTTCTTTCTTTTCTTTTTTTAAAAAATAAATTTTATTTTTGCAAAAAAAAACTTTAATAAATCGAAAAAAGAAAAAAGAAACTTTATTTTTTGTTGATTTTTCAGAATTACAAGTAGTTTTTTTTTTTTTTGTTTAAAAAGACTGTGTAATTTTTTTTTTAATAAAAGTTAATAAGCAAAAATCAATTCTAAATTAAAATTAATTATGATAAAAAATAACACATTCCTATTATAGTTATTTGTTGAACATTTATTTTAAAATTTTGTTTCTGCAAAAATTTCAATAATTTTTTTCGTAATAATAGTATATAACACAAAATTAAAAAATTGAGAGATAATGAAATATATAAAAGTATTATGATTTAATAATATTATAAATAGTACGAAATATTAAAATAATAAAAGAGCAATAAAAAATATAAATTTGAATTCAAATTTTTGATTTGAATATGAATTTTATTCCATCTGTTTACTTTTCACTTCTAATTTTTTCTTTTTTAAAATTAATTAATAAAGTTTCCATACAAATAATAACAACATATAAAATTACTACACTTTAAAAAATTACTATCCAAAAAAAAACGAAAAATAGGAGAATAAAAGTTTTTTTTTTTTCTAAAAAGTTTTAAATTTGATATAAAAAATTGTTAATAAATTAGATTTGAAATTAAAATAAGAATTTAACGAATAACCAAAAAATTGATTGAAAAAAATTTCTTTTAATTGTTGCTGCTTGCTTTTTTACATGTTTTAAATTGAAATTTAATTTTCATATTTTGATATATTAAATTTAAATCATTTTTAATTTTTATTTTATATCAATAATTCTTATTATTCAGTCTGTCATCTTTTTACCATTTCAAACTTTTTTTTAAAAGATTGTTGATTATTTGTTGCATGATTCATGCTATATCATTTTTCCTCTTTACTATTATCATTTATCAGCAAGTTTAAGACTGTCATTCACATTTCACTTATCATATCAGTGTTATCAAGTATTTTTTTCTTCCTCTACTAACTTCTTTTTCATCATTTTTAAATTTGAAAATTTCTCTGCAATAATTTAAAAAAAACAAAATTTAAATTCTACTACATATACATATAAACGTGAAGGAATTTTGTAGAAAAAGCACGAAATATTTCAAATTTTAATTACATCAGCGTTTCATTTAATTAAAATACTGACACTGCGCAATCATTTTTTATTGTTTGCATTTAATCAGTATGTTTAAACTTTTTTCTATTGAAACACTGAAAATTTTTCACAAAAAAATTTAAAATTTTAAAATAAAAAATTCAGAAAATTTTGCAATAAATTAATTAAACCATAAAATTTTAAAGTAATAATAACATCATTGTGTATAAATGCTTTTTTTTTTCCCTTTTTTCATTCTTTTGCATTCATTTCTCTCATTTTTTTTTCTTTTTTTGAATATATAAAATTTTTCTTTTTTTTTTTTTTTTTTACAAATATTTGCTATGAATTTATAAAAGAAAAAAAAATTGTTGTGATGCAGTTTGATTAATATTTTATAAACCTCTTTAATATTATCTTTCTTCTCACATTTTTGCTTAATTAATAATCAGAATAGAAATTTAAACAAAAATTCAAATGTCATATTTTTCATATTTAAACAAAAAAAAAAAAAAAATGATTTAAACAAATCTAACGAATATATTTCGTTTCTTAATTTTTTTTTTTCTAATTTAAATTCCTCTGATATTGATCTTGTAAAGTCAATTATTAAACTACGTATTCACACACACTTTTGAAATTTAAAATAAGAAAATGAATTAGAATTTCAATTCAATTTTTTTTTTATTTATTTTTTTCCATTTCATATTATCACTTAAAATTATAAAAAAATTCTCTCATCAAAATAAGTGCAAATAGTATGAATTATCCCATAGATTATAATTAAAATTTAATAGTATTTTAAAATAAATTATTCAAATTAATACAAATATTTTATTCAGCAAAATTTCATCGAACCATACACTACGCCAATTTTCCTTTTTTTTCCCTTTTTTTAAACAAATCTAAAAGTGTTTTTGTCAAATTACACATTACTTTTATGTTAATGCTTTACTTTTTTTTATGCTAATATATTACTTACTTATAAGTAAATTTAAGTAAACCAATAGAAATTCAAATTTATTTCACATTTCAAAAATAAAAAATTTATTTGCTGTAAAAAGTAATTGTTGTAATACTAAAAATGCTAATATTTGCTTTATTATTTTAAAATTCATCAAAAGCTAATAAAGATTATTTATTTTATAAGATTTATCTCCGAGATATCTCGAGATTTTATTTTTTTTTTCTAATATGCATAATTTGGTTTTAGTAGTAGCAAAAAAGAAAAAAAAAACTTTACAACAGTTAAAAAAATCAGTGATAAAAGAAGAAATTATCATTTATCCATTCCTGCTTATTACACTTTATTAAACGAACTTGCAAAGTGTCATCTATCATTCATTCCTGTTTTGCCGGATCGAATATCAATCAGTAATAAAAGTAAATTTATCTACCGGAAACAGTAAACATTAATTTCTGTCATGTAATAATCATCATCTCATTAACATTCATATAATAATAATTTCTGCTTCACATCAAAATTATAATTTCTCTTCGAATAATTTTAAAAATGTCCATCCGTTTTGAATTTAAAGCAATTTAAAATTAAGATTAAAGAATAATTATTGCTTATAAATTAAATATTTTACACAAAAAGTATCATTTGAAAAATTAACCGATGATAATTTATTATAAAAATTAAAATTAGAAAATCATCAGCAATTATTAGTATTTATTCACAATTTTAATTGTAGCATTTCTTTAAAATATTAAATTTTCGTATAATTTAATAAAAAAAGTCTGAAAAAAAGTCAAAAATTAAATAATTTAAATTCATTAAAGAAAATATTTTTTTTTCAATTTTCATTTAACTCTCAAAAATTATTTCAGGAAACAATTAGAAATTGAAAATGAAATTTAAATGAACAAAAAGCAATGAATTGTTTTAAATATTATTGTTCAATTAATAATAAAAGAAAATGTGTAAAATATCTTTTTGTTTTGTTTTGCTGATAATTTCAATCATTTAATATTCATTTTTTTTATTAATAATTACTTATTACTTTACTAGGTTGCAATCATTATTATATTATACTAATCATATTATCATAAAATTTGTACGAAATAATTTTACTTCTCTTTATAAATTGTTCCAATCAAATTATTATTCGATGATAAAATACTAATAATATTCTAAATGGAAAATTATTTTGTGAGTTTCAAATAATGATAATATTCTAATTTATGCATATCAGTAATGATATTTGAACTTACTTCAGCTAATATTAATTATTTTATTTGAATTTGTTTTGCTGATATACTGAAATTGCAGTAAGTTTTTCATATAAAAGTAAATTAACTTTCAAACTTTTCCTTTTTTTTTCTCTTTCTTATCATAATGATATCATTTTTGATTCATTCATTGCTTACTTTTTCTCCTTTAATTTTTCAAATTAGAAGAATTTCCTTTGATGTGTTAGATTAATGGCAACCATTAATCAACCAACCAACCAGCCAACTGGCCAACTGGCCAACTAGCCAATTAGCCAGCTATCTAACTAGCCAACTAGCCCATTGGCCAACTAGCCAGCTAGCAAACCAGCCAACTAATTAACCTTTAATCTGTAGCTGACAGATACATCATTCATCCCTTTTGTTTCAAACGCAATTTTAAAACAAAAAAATTGATAAGAATAATTTTAGAACTAAACGAAGTGAATAGATGACTAAAGATTAAAAAAGGAATATTACACTAAGCTAATTTATTTATTATCAACAATGATAAATGATCGCTTGATCGTTTTATTTTTTTTTCATCGTTTTAAAATATTTCGTTAAACGTTTCATTTACGTTTCATTTACGTTATATTATGTTTATGCACGTTTTTAATGATTACTGATAACACACGTAAACGTGTAAACTTGCGTCTTTTGTTTATTTATTATTTATCAATAACATTTTTTTTTTTTTGAATATTTAAAAAAAATTCTCACTTTATAATGTTTGAAGTGTAATACAGTGATATAATTTTGTTGAATTAAATTAGTTATTGCAAAAATTCCAAAAAAAAAAAAAAAAAAAATGGCTTAATTGATTGATTGTTGCATTATTTTTCTAAACATCAATCTGCAATGTTTATATTTCTCTAAAATTCATTAATTTACTAAAATCTTTTTTTTTTTCAAAATTTACTAAAAATTTCAAACTTACTGCAATATATGTGAGAAAAGAATTTTAATATTACAACTGAATATTACTTACACATTTATACATGCACTATGCATGCAAACAAGCAGTAAGTATACATATGCAAATTACGCTGACATTGCATAATGTCGTGAAGAAAATTAGCATATTTGTAAATAAACAATTAATTAGTTATGAGCATAATGTGGAATAGTCATTATATTTTAGAAAGATCTAATTATTTCTTTATTTATTCATTCTTTTATTTACTTATTTATTATTTGTTGATTTATTTATTCAGTTATTTATCCATTCTTTTATTTGTCTTTCGTTTATTTATATATTAATTGATTTGTTTATCAAATTATTTATTTTCTGTTTGCCAACGTTTTGTTTTTCTTTTTTGAGAATTGATTAATTAAGCCTGTTTATTTTTTGATTATTTATTTACTTATTTATTAAAATATTCATTTATTTTGCATCCAATTATATAACTAATTTATTCATTTATTTATAGCTACAGATATGACCAAAAATAAATAA